TTTTTTGAAACAGGGTCTCATTAAGTTTCCTAGGGCATTGAGCATGCAATCCTCCTGCCTCAGCCTCCAGAGCCACTGGGACTCCAGGCATGCACCACCATGCCATCCTGTCAGTAGTTTTTGACACACTTGATCCCCCCTCCTTCTTGGACACTTTCTTCATCTGACCTCCAGGATATCACATTCTCTCACGTTTTCCACTTACCTCCCACTGCATATTCCTCTTCTGTTCCTCCTCTTCCTCCTGAACTGTTAAAGTGGAAATGTCATGCAGCTCAACCTCTGGTTCTATACTGACTCCCTTGGTGATCTCAATCAGTTTCAAGGTTTTAAGTACCATCTGTGTACCAAAGACAAATTTATGTGTCTATCCCAGACTTCTCTTTTGAACTCCAGAGACAAGAGCAAAATTCAACGCTTGATCCTGTCTCCTGAACCTGTTCTTCCCATATTCTTCCTGTCTAGGTTAGCACAACTCCATCTTTCTAGTTCCAAACTAGAGTCATCCTTGACTCCTCAATTTCCTTACAGTGCATATGTAATTTGCAAGCAAATACTGTTTATTCAGAAAATATCTAGAATCTGACCATTTTCCTGACTCTGCTTCTCCCGGTTTGAGCCACCTTCCTATCTTGTCTGGATTATTATTGTAGTCTCCAAGAGCAGCTTCCATACAGCCTTTCTTCCATATTGCAGTGGATCGACCCTTTTAAATCTTGACTAATAATGTCATTCTTCTGTTGAGAAGTCTGCAGTGACTCCTAACCTCAGTCAATAAAAGTTTGACTCTTTCGGTGAACTGCATTCTACCTCCCCTTCCCATTCCGCTCCTTTGCCCTTTACCCTGTGAACTTGTTTCTTTCTCTGCCTTAGCTACTTTCTCCCTGCTGGCCCTGAGCAGAACCAGGAAAGTCCCACATCAAAGCTTTTATACTTGCTATTTGCTTACCAGTATATTTTTTCAACATGGCTAAGGTCTACTGTGACTTCAAATTTAAGCTTACATAGATCCATATGCTCAGATTTGGGCTAAGTTATGACTTAATTGGTTCAATACATTTATAGCTTGGGGAAATTCTATCAGACCTCTCTTACTCTCTAACTCTGTCTGAACAGGAACGTATAGCAGCTCTGGTCATTTCTGGGAGCCATTTTTGCAATCACATAGAGGTCAATATTAGAATGAAATGAGCCCTGGGGATGATCTAATAAGAGGAAAATCTGGGTCCTTGATAAGGTCATTGATCAGTTCATTTGTTCTGTGTCTGAATCCTATCTTGCTTATGGACTTATACAAGCTAAATACCCTTCTTAAAACAGTTTTTAAGGGGCTGGATTTGTAGCTCAGTGGCAGAGCACTTGCCTCGAACATGTGAGGCACTGGGTTCAATCCTCAGCACCATATAAAAATAAATAAACAAAGGGGAGGGGAGGGGGGGGGAGGGGAGGGGAGGGGGGATAGTAGAGGATAGGAAAAGGCAGCAGAATACAACAGACACTAGTATGGCAATATGTAAATCAATGGATGTGTAACTGATGTGATTCTGCAATCTGTATACGGGGTAAAAATGGGAGTTCATAACCCACTTGAATCAAAGTGTGAAATATGATATATCAAGAACTATGTAATGTTTTGAACAACCAACAATAAAAATTTTTAAAAATAAATAAATAAATAAATAAACAAAATAAAGATATTGTGTCCATCTATAACTAAAAATAAAAAAAATAAACAGTTTTTAAGCTAGGAATCTTACTTGCAACAAACTACATCCTAGATAACATATTGACAGAAATTCAGTAATACTCTCTGGTTTGTTGGCTCTTATAAAACTTATGAAAAAGAGACTAAACCCTGTTCAAAACTGTAGTTTAAATTATACAACTATATCTGGCAGAATGTGAGACAGACATGGAAACTGGATTGCAGAGAGAGGCAACAAGGCCACTGAAGAATGATGTAATGGTAGATGTGATTATTATTGGCTAGAGGAAGGTCATTCTGGCACGGGCAGTCTCTTCCTTGAAACTACCGAGGTGCTCACTACAAATCACATCATTAGATAGATTCAAATACATTGGAACAGGCCTCATTGTTAATAACAAAAACACTCTTATTACTATAGAAATCCCAAGGAGTTTTGAAGTTCTGTGGCAAAAATCAGAAACAAAACCCAAACATTTTTAAAATCATACCATACATTCATTACCACAAGAGTACTCCTCAAAGAAGGTATCAGTGCAATCTGCTCATTACAGACAGGAAATTTGACTAAGTATGAAACTACATGGCTGGGGCTGGTGTAATGGCTCAGTGATAGAGCATTTGCCTAGCATGTGTGAGGCACTGAGTTTGATTCTCAGCATTATATATAAATATATGAATAAAATAAAGGTCCATCAACAACTAAAGATATATTTTTTAAAAAACTATATGGCCTTTCAGCTTAGCTTTCTCCCAATTCGTTTTATCTCCAAATAAATCCACATTAAATAGAGTTTTCATCACATTATTTCTTTAAAAGAGGTGTCAGTGGCTCTCCTTACAAAATAGAGTCATACCATTCAAGATTCTTTAGAAGACTATTTTCTGATGGTTATGTTCATTCCTACCACTGGCCATTCTCACCCCCACTCCTTTCCTCCTGCCTTCTGATAATCTCCCCATTCCTAAATAGCAATCATTCCTATCTTTCTCGAAAGATTCAATGAGGGAGAAAGGTAACTTTATTGAATACCTACAATCACAGAGCTGAAAGCTTTACACGGTATCTCCTTTAAAACTCTAGCACTCTGCAGTTTACATATTCAAATTTTTATTTTACATTGGAGTAATGCCTGGAGATATTGATTTAGGTGCTTGAAAGCAAGTGTATTAAGTTTCAGACTCAAATTTATTTGACTCTAAAACCTCAGGCTCTTTTTTAGTAATCCATAAGACTTATAAACCTCCTATACTCTGGCCCTTAAAGTTGAGTTGTAGATAAAACAATTTTAAAAATGGAAAGATAGTTGCATTTTATATCTCTACTGCCTTTAGTATTAAATGCAGGTTATTATCCACAAGCAAAAACAAAAACAAAAAAAGTATGTGTTTTCTAGCTAATCCAGGGATAAGGACAGAATTATAGTCCAAGAATAGTCCACAGTAGATTTTAACTAGGGGGTTGTAAAACAAATATTAGATGACTAGAGGAGAAAGAGGAGCAGACAGAAAGAAGAGGAAGCATATAGACAGGTCTTTAAAACTACTAAAATTTATTTTAGAGCAGAGATTTTATTTACAAAATACTTTCCTTAAAAGTATAGCTTTAGAAGAAATAGAGGAACAATACGATACTAAGCTATTGGATTCCATGCCTGTAAGTAAATTCTTTATTGTCACAAGATAACTTTCTTATCTAAACTGAGGGAGCAGATTTTGAGAAACTAATGATAAAAGCTATTGATAGCATTAAGGATTTAATTTCAGAATAGATTGTTCCTCAACTATTCTGAGTCTCATTTGCCTTTTGACCTTTTGGGTGCTTAGGCTAAAACAAGGACTGAACAATGTGTGTGAAGCAAAGTAAATGCATCAAAAACATTTCAAGATGTTACAGAGCTGGGTTCTTCTGGGAAATTGAGACATCACGAAGAACCACCCCTTCCTCAAATCCTGATTCTTGCTTTCAAGTCAGAAAGATTCCAGACAGGTCATTTAGTAATAGGCAATGTATTTATTAGAAGGTATAGGAACAAGTAAAGGAGACATTCTCAAGGGAGAGAATGGGTCCTCTCAGAGAGGAGAGGGACAGTGTGTCTTTCCAGTACTCCAGTTTTATTGGCAATCCCAGAGAAGTTTTCAGAGACTCCCATGCAGGTCCACCTCTTGACTTCTTACTGACAGCTAGATGACATCAGACTTTCAAGTTCCCACTGCCATGACAACTCTGGCCCATGCTGGTTGGTTCTAATTGGATTCTTAACCATAAATTCTTACAGATCATATGATTAAAAGGAATTATTCTTATCTTTCCCCAAGTTTCAGGATCTGAACTGTGAAAGGGGTTGCAAAAGTATCCCCCTTCAGGGTAACTTGTGTTCTTATTGACATTATTTCTAACCTGCATTTCTCCTGCAGAAAACAGGTAGTTTGTTGAAGAATGTGACAAATCCTGGCCACTTAAGCCAACCTAGGCTGAAGGTAAATTGCTTCTTGGAAAAGTAAGCATGTGGGGTTCAGGGCAACACAGGAGGCCCATTTTATAGACTTTTCCTCTTAATCTCATGTTCCCACTACTTGCATTTGTCTGTCCCCTATCAAAGGGAACTTGGGATGGTATTATTCTGGGCATGTCTACACCTCATGTTTGTACAGAAATGACAATAAAATCATGAATATTTTGATCCACTGTATTTGCCACCATCTTCTCTCGTAGTACACTATCCTCCTTTCCCTGCTTTTGATTATGACCTATTCCAATGTGCTGTATGTACACTGGCAGTCAGGGATCTGAACTTTATCCAGTCTCAGTCTTTGCCATCTGTCCCCTACACTGACTAAGCTTTGTCCTCTCAGTCTTTGCAAATGGTTCCTTGAGGACCTACCCACATCACTGTTCTCTAGTTGGCTCTTGTTGCCTTTCAGGAATAAGCATTTTTTCACTCAGAAAGTATGGTTAATAGAAAGTGCCCAATAAATGTTGGATTATTATTAATAATGATACAATTAAAAGCTCTCTGGTATGATTATTGAAGTGAACGAATGAAATGGGTATTTATACTCTTTTAACACTTTTAGCAACTTTCCTGGAGAGAGAATCTAAAAATTTGTTGAGAAAAAACTGAGAAAAGTTTCCCTGTAAATGACGGTGGAAGTGCTATCCGTTTTCTCTCTTATCCGAACCTGCAGCAGTCTCCTTTTTTCAGACTAACTGAAATCTTTAAGGTGAGGTCATCGACCAGCTCGGGGCTCGTCCCACCGAGGCAGCTCGACTAGTTCTGGCTGATCGCTTCATCCCGGAAGCAGGTTGAAGGCCGTTGTGGTCACTGTTGTCTCCCTGGCTCGGTCCGCCCAGGAGTGAAGGGGTTTTGTTGTCGCCATGGGCGACCCTGACCCCCGCTACCCTTGCTCCTCAATCGAGGATGACTTCAACTATGGCAGCTGCGTGGCCTCCGCCAGCGTGCACATCCGAATGGGTAGGTGCTGTCCCGCCGGCCCGCAGAGGCCGGCGTCTCCCCTGGGAGCTGGGGCTCCCGGGATTCAGTTCCCCAGCGTCGCCCGGAGGCGCTGGGTGCTGAGCTCCCGAGCAGAGCCGGAGCCCGCGGAGCAGCAGCGGGCGCCCGAAAACCGCAGCAGCCTCAATTTGGCATCTTTAAATTAAGAGAAACAAAGGGTCACTTTGATAAAAATCAGTTAACTATGTGAGCCTTATGACGTCCACCCATATGGAGCCACTTACTTGATGTGTTTGCTTTAAGGGGCGTAAACACGTTGAAAGTCTTTATTTTCTTGTCTGTCTGCTTTGCTGGACTGCAAGCTCCTTCAGGTCCAGACCTTATCTGTTGCTCTATTTTCTTTTTTCAAGGCCTAGAATTCAACATGTTTGACTATTACTGGGGCAGATGCTGGAAATAGAAACTTCCTAACTCAGTCTAAAGGCCCATGTTAGGTTTAGATTGTTATACAGAATCCTGTGGGCCGACATTATTTCGAATTTAAAGTGCTCAGTGACATGTAAGTGGAATTCATTGTCCGCCCTAGTTCATCCTCTTGATCTTAGAAGCTGGCCCAGATTTTCAGCCTGTCTGGGCAGCTGGCTCTGGTTCTGGAAAAGGAATTATGAAGATAGCTCTGATACATTATAAAAAATCTGGATGCTTAGCATTGATATTTCAGGGATTGAGTTTTGAAATTATTTTAATAAATGAGCTCAGCATTAAATTTGTTTTCTAAATTGTGGCAAAACAAATATAACAAAAAAATTACCAAATTACCATCTTAACCATTTTTAAGTGTACATTTCAATAGTATTAAGTATTTTCACATTGTTGTACTTCCAATCTCCAGAACTTACCACCACCACCATCACCATCACCATCATTATACTTCCTGTATATAAAATTTAACTACCCTGAATACCTCATATGGCCAGGCACCCTGGCCAACTGCCTGTAATCCCAGCAGCTCAGGAGGCTGAAGCAGGAGGATCACAAGTTCAAAGCCAGCCTCAGCAAAAGCCAGGCACTAAGCAACTCAGTGAGACCCTGTCTCTAAATAAAATACAAAAAAAAAAAAAGGGCAGGGAATGTGGCTCAGTGGTTGAGTGCCCTTGAGTTTAATCCCCCCCTAAATAAATACCTCATGAATGGAATCACAAACACATTGTCTTTTTGTTAACTGAATTATTTCAATTAGCATATCTTTAAGGTGCATCCATGTTGAACACATGTCAGAATTTCCTTACTTTTTAGGCTGAATAATATTACATTGTATGTATATAACAAATTTTATTTATCCATCCATTGATGGAAGTATTTGCATTAATTCTATCTCTTGCCATTGTGAAGGCTGTTATGAATATAGATGTGCAATTATCTCTTGAGACCCTGTTTTATTTTGAATATACACCCAGAAATATAATTGTTGGATTATATGGTAAATGTATTTTTAATTTTTTAAGGAACTGCCATACCATTTTACATTCTCACCAACAACATACAAGGGTTCAGATTTCTTCACATCCTTGCCAATACATATTATTTTCTATGTTTTTTTAATTGAAAATTGTCATCCAAATGATTGTAGAGTGATAACTCATTTTCATTTTGATTTGTATTTCCCCAATGATAGTGATATTGAACATTTTTAAAGTATGCTTGTGGGCCATTTGTCTATATTCCTTGGAGAAATTTTATTCAAGTCCTTTGACTAAGTTTTTAGAAAATAGGTTTTATTAAAGCAATTTTAGGTTCATAGCAAAATTGAGCAGAAGGTATAGATTTGTTACATATCCCTTGCTCCCCTACAAAGTCTCTTGCCTGAATCAACATCCTACACCAGGGAGGTATATTTGCTACAGTCAATGAATCTAGTTGATATAGAATCAGCCAAAGTCCATAGTTCATTCTAGGGTTTGCTCTTGATGTTATATGTTTTATGGATTCTGACAAATGTATGATGACATCTGTTTGCCATTATAGTATCATACAGGATAGTTTTCACTGCCTTAAAAAATTCTCTGTGCTCTGCCTGCTTATCTCTCCCTCCTGCTAACCTCTGGCAACCACTCATCTTTTCATGTCTCCATAATTTTGCCTTTTCCATAATGCTAAGACATTCCAGAATCCTTTGGAAGCATAGTTGAAATCATACAATGTGTAATTTTATCAGATTGTCTTCTTTTACTTACTACTATAATACCCATTTAAGATGGTTCTACATGACCTTTCATACTCAATAGCTCATTTACTTTTAAATATATATATATTATGGTAGATAGACACTATACCTATATTTTATTTTTATGTGATGCTGAGGATTGAACCCAGTACCTCACACATGCTAGGCAAGCGCTCTACCAACTGAACTATAACCTCAGCCCTCATTTCCTTTTTATTCTGAAGAATATTCCATTGTTTAGATATACCAGTTTATTGATTCACCTTCTGAAGGACATCTTGACTGGTTCTAAGTTTTGAAGCAGTTATAAATAAAGCTGTTTTGTAAAATTCATGTGCAGGTTCTTGTGTGAACATGTTTTCAGCTCATGTGGGTAAATACCAAGGTGTACAATTGCTGGGTCACATGAATCAAAGTATATTTAGTTTTGTAAGAAAGCACCAAATTATATTCCACAATTTGCATTCCCGTTAGCAATGAATGATCGTTCTTATTCTTCATCTTCACCATAATTTGATGTTGTCAGTATTTTGGATTTTGGCTATTCTAATAGGGGTGTAGTTGTAGCTCATTGCTTTAATTTGAAATTCTCTAGTAACATGATATTGAGCATCTTTTTATATGTTTATTTGCTACCTGTTTTCTTTAGTGAGGTGTCTATTCAAGTCTTTTATCCATATTTTAGTAAGGTTGTTTTCTTATTGTTGGGTTTTAAGAGTTCTTGTTTAGTTTGAATAATATCCCTTTATCAGATACCTCTTTCACAATTATTTTTCCCAGTCATAACTAGTCTTCTTATTTACTAGATGTTGTCCATTTTTGAATCAGATTATTTGTTTTCTGTTGTTAAATTCTAGAATTTCTTTACATAGTCTAGATATTAACCCCTTATCAAATATATGATTTGCAACCCATTCAGTGAGTTGCCTTTCAACTCCATTGATTATGCCCTTTGATATACAGATTTTTTTTTAATCTAGTCCTTTAATCTAAGTTTCCTTTTGTTACCTGTATTCTTTGGTGTCATGTTAAGAAACCATATTGCCAAGCCCAATGCATGACATTTTTTCCTTGTTTTCTTCTAAGACTTTAATTGTGTTAGGTATTTCATTTAGGTCTTTGATCCATCTTTAGGTAATTTTTGTATGTGGTGTTAAGTAAGGGTTCAACTTCATTCTTTTTGCATGTGTATATCCAATTTTCCCAGCATCATTTATTAAAGAGACTTTTATCTTTTTTCCATGGAGTGATTTTTTTGATATGTACAAGGTTTTATTCCATTGGTCTATGTGTCTGTCTGTATGCCAATGCCACGCTCTTTTGATTACTGTAGCTTTGTAATGAGTTTTGAAATCAAGAAGTGTGAGAAAGTTTGTTCTTTTTAAATATTATTTTTAAAAAATTTTTTAGTTATAGATGGATACAATATCTTTATTTTTATGTGGTGCTAAGGATCAAACCCAGTGCCTTACACATGTGAAACAAGTGCTCTACCACTGAGCTACAACCCCAACCCTTAAATATTTTTTTGCTATTTGTGATTCCTTGAGATTCCATGTGAATTTTAGGATGAATTTTGTGTTTCTGCAAACAACGCTGTGGAAATTTTTGATAGGAATTGCATAAAATCTCTAGACCGTTTTGGATAGTATATCTTAATATTAAGTCTTCTGTGAACATAGGATATCTTTCTATTTTTTGTCTTTTGTAATTTCTTTCAGGAATGTTTTATAGTTTTCATGTTTGTCTTCTTGGTTAGGTTTTTCTCTAAATGTTTTATTCTTGTTAATGCAATTCCAAATAGAATTGTTTTCTTAATATCCTTTTCAGCTTTCTCCTGTGAGTGTAGAGAGTTGCAAATGACTTCTGCAAGTTAACATTCTCTCTCACGACTTGCTTAATTCATTTGTTATGAAATTTTTACAGTTTTATTTATGTAAGATCACATTCATATTAATGTGAACAGACATAATTGTACTTCTTTCTTTCCATTTTGGATGCCTTTATTTATTTTCCTTGACCAGTTGCTTTGGTTGGGACTTTCAGTGCTATGTTGAATAGAAGTGGCAAAAATAGGCACCCTTAACTTATTCCTGTCTTAGAGGAAGAACATGCAGTTTTTCACCATGTGTGATGTTAGCGTGGGCTTTTCATCTGTGGCCTTTATTGTGAAAAGGTAGTTTTTCAAGACTTAGTTTATTGAGTACTTACAACATGAAAGGATGTAGAACTTTTGCCATATGTTTTTTCTGCATAAATTAAGTTGATCATGTTTCCCTTCCACCCCATCATTCTGTAACCACATCAGTAGATTTTCATATATTGAACATCTCAGGAATAAATCCCATTTGGTCATGACATATAGTCCATTTAATGTACTCATGAATCCTGTTTGCTAGTGTTGTGTTGAGGATTTTTGCATTAATATTTATCAAGCATATTGCTTTATAGTTTTCTTGTAGTACCTTTGGCTTTGATATCAGAGTAATGCTGGTCTCACAGAATGAGTTTGAAGTGTTTTCTCCTCAATTTTTTGGAGGAGTTTGAGGAGGATTGGTATTGTATTTCAGCTTTGTAGTACATGTTTTTTAAACCATTTTTTAGGCATTCTCAGATTATATTCAACAGTAACATAGACCATTACTTTAGAGTAACTAAGAACTGGTCCACAAGTACTAGGAGTGGATGAGAATTAGCTAACAAATAGCCATTTTGTCAAACTGTTCTGTTTTTAATCATTTGCTTTTTTGTATGCTATTGTGTACAAATAGGCATTTGGCATTTTCCTTTTGTTTTGATGAAAACACAATCTGGCCAGTTAATTTAATTTTTTAAGCTCATATTTTTGGGGAGGATTATATATACCCTTTGGGTTTTTAATTACTTTGGAGGCTTTTCCTTTTTTACTAGTGATAACTCTAAGATTTAAGAAAGAATGCATGTAAAAACAATTTTTCTAAAGAAATTTGGTCTTATAGTTCTCTATAAATCCTTAAGAAAATAATCACGTGTAATATTTTTCTCTTTTAGCTTTCCTCAGAAAAGTCTACACCATACTTTCTCTGCAAGTTCTCTTAACTACGGTGACCTCTACAGTGTTCTTATCTTTTGAGTCTATACGGACATTTGTACATGAAAGGTAAAGTAATAGGATAAATCATTTTCAGACATTACATATGATCAAAAGGATATATACAAACACAATTCAATTCTTTTCTGTAAACGCCTATAAAATTAGTTTTGTTTTTGACAAAATATACAGATAAATTTTATTAAATTGGCTAACACTATTTATGGTCTTTTTAAACTTGAAACTTTTTGTAATATTATGTCTTTCAGTCCTGCCTTGATTTTGGTGTTTGCCCTTGGATCTCTGGGTTTGATTTTTGCATTGACCTTAAACAGACATAAACATCCTCTTAACCTGTACCTGCTTTTTGGATTTGTGAGTACTTTGGTGATGTTTGCTTCTTTAACAATAAGGGTTTTCAAAATATTTACTTAATTGGATGCAAAAACAGACATAACGATGACAGAACAAAATGGAGTTTTATTTTAATTAGGGTAGTATAAGAAATCACTTGTAATTTTGTAGGATTTTAGAATTTTAAACACTTGTCACTGTCAAAATTTGTGGGTTTTTTTTTTTTTTGTTGTTGTTGTTGCTGTTGTTTTTAGCTAGGATAAGATGGAAAAAATACCAAATCAGGGGCTGGGGTTGTGACTTAGTAGTAGAGTGCTTGCCTAGCACATTTGAGGCCCTGGATTCGATCCTCAGTGTCACGTAAAAATAAATAAATAAAATAAAGGTATTGTGTCCAACTTCAACTAAAAATAAATATTAAAAAAAAAATGACCTAGCTTTGTAACTAGCTGTTAATGTGACATGTGGCAAGGCATTTAACCTTTCTGTACCTCATTTGTCTCAAATATAAAATGAAAATATTAACAGAATCCCTGTGATACTTTCTACCTTTATATTTTATGATTGGGGGAGTATTTATTATTAGAACCTTAATTTTATAGAAATTAAATCAAATTCTTTATTTTTAGCTGATCAGTATCACTTTTTCTTTTTTTTTTTTTTTTTAGTTGTAGGTAGATCCAGTACCTTTATTTTATTTTTATGTGGTGCTGAGGATCAAACTCAGTGACTCACGCATGCCAGGCGAGCGCTGTACCACTGAGTCAAAGTCCCAGTCCCCAGTGTCACTTTTTATTGTTGCTCTATTCTTTTAAAAGACCATTGTCGTCAAATGATGTGCTTTACCAACTTGTTTAAAATTCATAGATAGGAGAACCTAACTTCAAGTCGTGTTTGTTGAAATAGAGGTAGAAATTAAAACCCCATTTGTCACCTGTAGACAGATCTGGGATATTCGTAATGCTATGGCCATACTGCCTATAAAATCTCTTGAGTTTGAGTAAGATTGGTAAAACTCAACATATTTTTACATTATTTTGTTTCTTCTCATCGCCAGTATGATTTTGGTTTCTAACTTGAAAATTTACTTCAAAACATTCCAAAACTAAAAATAAGAATATTTGTAGTAAATAACAGCCACTGCTATTAATTCTCACTTTGCCTTTGTGATGTGGTCTATCAAGTGGATAAAATCTAGGTAGAGTGAGTCTACTTTTTAAGACAAAGTAGAGGTAATGTAATTAAGGAGAAAAAGAGACTTGAGGACATGTCTCAAGTAATAGTGAAAAAGCTATGGATCAGATTAAAGTGCTTCGAACTAAAGAAAGTTGTGATTTCTGATAATGAATTTGGGTTAATATAAGAAGAAAAAGCTCATGACTTTGGAAATTTCAATTATAAGAGAGGTTATTCATTTAAATTTTAAGCTCTTTTGTTTGTAAGGTTATCAGTTCAAACGCAAGTTATCTCAGATACTATGAGTTTATTTTAAGAATATAAGAGTCTAAGAACCAATCCAAACCCATCAGATCTTAACAAGAGGAACTAGAGAAAGGTTCTAGAAATTATGCTATTGTAGGGAATTCAGTGGTACCAGTTTGTGGTCCCTTTCCCCTTGTCCTGTCACAGCTCTCTCACAACTGTCCTTAAACATTGTTTTCTTTTTTTGTCTTTCATTTTAACATGACCATCGTTGGCCCACACATAGTTCAGTTACCTTTCAGCTTTAGCTCCTGCTGCCATTGCTTCATTATCTAGAATTTGGTTTCCTGAGTGAGAAAGAACCTGATGGGCATAGTTAGTTTTGGTACAGGTCCCATTGTAGATTGTTAGACAATTCTGGATTGCTAGTCCATGGGCCAGATTCTAGCTTCTGGCCCAGTTAGCTATGTGCTAGGACAGATGAAAGAGGCACCAAAAAATGGGATCATATGGATTTCCTTTTCACAGTTTCTTTTAACAAGGACTGATTTCTATGAAGAAAGAAGTCATAGGCAAGTTTTTGCCCAGTGGAGAGGCCTCACTTGAAAATCATCAGCCAAATGCTTATAAGAAAAATGTTCACTTATTGCCAAACCTGTTTGACATGCCCATAACTAGAAGTGGTTTCACTGATAAGGAAATATGTAAAATACATCTCTTCAGATTATTCAGTGACCTCTGTCTACTAGATTTTTGGTCTTTTGTTTGTTCAATTTTGTTTCTGTCTTGTTGCACCAAAATAAGAAAGAAGCAAATCTTACCCTGTCCTATAAAATCTGTGTGTGTGTGTGTGTGTGTTTTAAAGGAGGGTGTTATTTTGGGGTGACATTATATCTTTCTAGTTTTATCTTTACTACTACTATTTATATTATTCTATCTCCTTCATATATTTGAATATGGTGTGGGATTTCTTTCCTAAAATCACGTCACAAATATCAAGAATGTAATACAGTTATATTGCCTAGGAAAAAAATGTTTTTATCATCTTTGCCACCATTTCCCTGGCAATACCAACAACATTAAAATATGGCAGCAGCTTCATTGCCTCTGTATCTGTGTACAATTTTAAATACCATTTTTGCTCTGATTCTGATAATTTGTTGATTTCAGGTAGGATGAAGTACAGGGAATCCTTCTACCATAAGTATGATTATACAGCCACTCCTGTTACTTTGGGCTTTGCCTTTGCAATGTGGTTGACCCGATGGTTGATAACAAGTCTATCTAGAGTAAGAATGTAAGACAAAGTAAAAATAATATAAATATAATTAAGCGGAAAGAGAGGCTAGAGGACAAGGCTCAATATCCTCCAATTTTTATTTAAATATGGATTCAGCTTCTTGTTACATGGCTTAAACAATGTCAGAATAACAGGTTAGGACTGGGGTTGTGGCTCAGCTTGCCTCACATGCCTGGGGCACTGGGTTCCATCCTTAGCACCATAAATAAAATAAAAGTATTGTGTCCATTTACAACTAAAAATGTTTTTAAAAAGTTAAAAATAACAAGTTAAAAATAATAACAACTTAGTTTGTTTCTCTTTTATATAAAAATTTGAATGAGTATTTTGACTATTTAACAACTCCCAGGTTCCTGTTCCAGTTTATGCATTCCTAACATATTGCATGGTATAAGACAGCTCACCACCATATCCACATAGTGTCAGTTACAAAAGAAAAGAAAAAAAAAGAAGGAAAGAAGGAAGGAAAAAGAAAAAGAGAGAAGAGCAAGTTATGTTCTTTTAGAGCACAATCTGGAAAATGTATCCTTCTCTACTCACCTTAAATTGGCTACAGTATAGTTATATAACCAGGCCTAGCAACAAGGGAGACTGAAAATGTAATGTTAAATCTGAACAGCCAGGTGTCCATGTAAAAATTATGTTACTAGGGAAGAGAGAGACAGTTTTAAGACTTACACACCGAAGTACTACCTAAATATTTTATCTTTATGTTTGTATTTGTTAGATACTGAGGTTTTTATAAAACATATGATTTGCAGTATCATTTATATTTCATTATCTTAGTAAGAAAAACAGAATTTCCTGTATTATTTCCGCTATTACAGATATGAAAAATTTGATTAGGGCTTAGAGGGTCATGGAACCATATTTAGAGTTTAAATATTCTCATATAATTTTCATTATGGTGGGCTTGATAACTGTCTCACATACTTCACCAGACTGCTCTGAAGCAAAAATGAGATCATGCACACAGAATCCCATTGACCTACTAGAAATTAGAAAATATACATGAAGTGGTATATATTTTACATGCATTTTTTAATTTCACTTTCTTTTTCTTAGACACTGTTGGAAGCTCTGACTGTGGCAGTTGTGGGTAAGTCATAATTGTGCTTCTTTTTGTTATAGTAACCTTTTATAATGTGGATAAATCTTTCAGGTAAAAAAAACTTGGGGTTAAAGTTTAATAGCATGGAATGTTGTATTTTAAAAATATGGCATAAGATAAATATTGCCTAAGATATAAGCAAAAATCAAATGTTTATACTTTACATAGTTCAGCAGAGCTTAGAGGAAGTGGAAAAGTTTAAGGAAAACTAAAGGAATGAAGAACAATATTTCATTTCTGTTTACATATTTATAAAAAAAAAAATAAGACAACCATGGCTGATCTTTTCCCTAATTTAAAAGAAATTCAGAAGAATTGAGAACATTTGTTTTGAGCTGTGTGCTTTTCATCACGAGTTTAGCTTCCTAAGAATTGCCTGCATTGAACCACGTCTACTGCTGTACCTTCATGTTTTATTCACTAAGTGATACTACAAGAAACAGCAGTAATTTCTGTTTCTATATTTTGTATTAAGTGAATTCAGAGGCCAAATGTCAAATTTGTTTCATTACACAAATGTACTCTGTGTAATGCTTCAAGTAAAATATTTCAGTGAGTTAATAACAATTCTGATTATTTTTAAATGGTTAGCATTGGGTACCAAAAAAGTTCGGCATTAACTATTACTCTCAATAATGGCAAATTGTTAATCTTTATGGTTTATATATTTCTCTCTTCCTATTTTGACATTACTATTTTTAATATCATTTTTGTTGAATTTATATTTTTGGTTTACCTTTTGAAAAAGAATTAGAATATTAAAATGCTAAGAAATACCAAAATAAGTAGAATTGAAGCTTCTCAACATAAAGGAAATATTAAAATAACTTACTTTTAGTGTTGTTATCTATTAATGTTACGTAATGTTAGCTAGTCCATCTCTGAATAAGGAGTCTTTTTTATTGGTGAGTAGTATAGGAGAAATGAAACATTTCTGTTAAATAACATGAAATATTATTTTAAATATAACAGTTTTATATTGAGGATGTTTATGTACATTTTAATCAATTTCTTAATTTTACAGTTACTTTCTACGATGTATATATAATTCTGCAAGCTTTTGTACTGACTACTACAGTATTTCTCGGTTTAACCATATATACTCTACAATCTAAGAGAGATTTCAGCAAATTTGGAGCAGGGTGAGTTATATATTTTGGGATATAATAGATAGATGTCTTTAATATTATAGGTGGTTTTGAGAGAGTGTTATACTGTTAGTTTTCTGTGCCTTAAAATTTAAGTAAATAAAGTACTAGGACTAGGCCCTACTTTCCCAGAGCATTCAAGGAAATGGAAAGTGGCTTTGAGTCATTTTCTTCCCTTTTATAGTGAAAGGAAGTGAATTAAAAAAAAAAAAAAAAAACGTAGATCAGTTTTCCAGAGAAGCTATACTTATGTGCTGTATGAATAGTGTGGAATTTACTAAAATTATTTCAGTCTTTGTTTTGGCATAAATGTTACCAAGACCATCCACATCTTTGGCAAAGGCAGAACAGTTGTCTCCAAGAACTTTAAAACCTTTTTGATCTATCTAGATTAACTTGTATCTTTCCTGAAACAGATAAATATATGTAATGATTCTTTATATTAGAATAATAGTAGTGTGTTGCCCTCATCTGGTAAGAAGTATAGACACTTCTCAGCTCACAGTGGCCTGTTCCCACACAGTCACTCAACCATTTTCTGTTCTTTCTCCTATTAACAATACTAAATATTTACAAAAGTCTAGTCTTGCAAAACTTTCTTTCCTCTTCCCTTTTGTTTCCTGGTAGACCAGATTATCAGAAATCCTTGTTGGGATTAAGTATAGTCATGCAATTTGCCTAAGTAGTTTTATTAGAATCAAGTTTGGTTTAGGGAGAGACAGTATTTTCTTTTCCTTCTTTTGGGAAGATGTTTCATTTATATTTTGTGGTATACATGAAGAAAGCTTTGCTCTGTGTTCTCTTTCCATCCCCATCTCCCAACTGCACCTCTCCCTCCAATTCATTCTAGTATCTCTCCTGAATTCCTAGTAAACAATTTCCCTTGTATTTCAGCTTTTTCATAATAAATGCATCTTTATTGATACAACCGATGTTAAAATTATCATGTATCAGTCTAAGACCAAACACTTATGAAGTCTGTGTACAGCTGGCTGCTATTTCTGATCATTTTTATATTTTCTTTTCTTTTTTTTTTATTGATTGTTCAAAACATTACAAAGCTCATGACATATCATCTTTCATACATTTGATTCAAGTGGGTTATGAACTCCCATTTTTACCCCAAATACAAATTGCAGAATCACATCGGTTACACATCCACATTTTTACATAATGCCATATTAGTGACTGTTGTATTCTGCTACCTTTCCTATCCCCTACTATCCTCCTCCCCTCCCCTATTTTATTTTCTTGTGTGTTAGGTTTTTACTAGGTAATTGTCCTTAAAAAATTATGTTGAGGGCTGGGGATGTGACTGAGTGGTAGAGTGCTTGCATAACATGTGGGAGGCACTGGGTTTGATTCTCAGCACCACATATAAATAAATGAATAAAATAAAGGTTCATCAACATCTAAAAAAATATATTTTAAAAAATTTATGTTGAATTTCTTTAAGCCCTACACTGCTGGTGCATTTTTTCCATAATATTTTGGGTTTCCTGCTACCTGGCATCTAGAAAATTACTAGATTGAGTCCACTTAAAACTAAATTCATGGTTCACAATATTTTCCCAACCATTCAGGTGTTGTGAATTTGAACTAGAAATCTGTAAAGGGATAGCTTGGATATCAATTACTTAGGAATGATCCCTCTGCCTTTTCCTTGCTTTATGCATTGATAACTTTCCTTATAGTCTCTCCGTGGGGATGGGGAGGTGATTGATACATGGTTGCCCTGACATTAAGGTTATTCACTTTAGGTAAATCCAGCTGTGGTACCATGATTACTTCTTTGGATTTCTACTTTTATCTAGATTGTGGCTTGATAATTCCCTTCCATTTTGTCAGTTATTTGATACTTGTAAGAAGTTTTTCTTTTTTTTTTTTTTTGGTTTCTTTTTAATTCATCACTTCAGTAGTTTTTGAGGAGATGGAGGATGGTGTCATAATTGGTCTAAATAGCCTTGTTTGCTATAATACTGGGAAAAGAACCCTTTCAAAGTTGTTTCTTACCGGTGTTACTGTAACCATCCTTGCTATCTCCAGTCTTACCAATTTCTAGTCTATTTTTCATAAAGTAACTAGGTGATAATTCCAAAATGCAAGTTCAATAGTGTCATATTTAAAACACTTGAACACTTTACTATGGCTTGAGGATAGCCTGATTCTCTACTGACGTGCTTTTATTGCCATCCACTATGGGATATTGCTATGTAATAATTATCTAGAAAAATCATAATATTGACCATATTTTTGGAGTGGCATTTTATTGCATTTTAGACAAAATTTAATGGCACTAATTTTTGTGAAGTATCAAAATCAAAATGGTTGTGGAGGGGGGCTGCAGTTGTGGCTCAGTGGTGGAGTGCTTGCCTGGCGCAGATGAGGCACTTGTTTTAATCCTCAGCACCACATAAAAATAAATAAATAAATAAATAAAAATAAAGAAAAAATAAAGGTATTTTGTCCATCTACAACTAAGAAATATTTTATTTATTTATTTATTTTTGGTACCATGGATTTAACTCAGAGGCACGTGACCACTGAGCCACATCCCCAGCCCTATTTTGTATTTTATTTAGAGACAGGGTCTCATTGAGTTGTTTAGGGTCTCACTTTTGCTGAGGCTAGCTTTGAACTCAGGATCCTCCTGCCTCAGCCTCATGAGCTGCTGGTATTATAGGCATGTACCACTGCACTCAGCTAAGAAATATATATATATATATATATTTATTTTATATATTTTTTTTTTTTTTTTTTTTTTTTTTTTTTTAATTTTTTTTAGTTGTAGTTGGACACAGTACCTTATATTTATTTTTATGTGGTGCTGAGGATCGAACCCAGCGTCTCGCATGTGCTAGGCGAGCGCTCTACTGCTAAGCCACCACCCCAGCCCAAGAAATACATTTTTAAAAAACTTAAAAAAAATGGTTGTGGAGGCTAAGTGCCAAAAGGGGATACAAAGATTGAGCAAAAAGATTTTATTCAAAAAGGTGTATAGGCTATTCATCCCTACCTGTTTATGGGAGTTAGTAGGGACTAAAGAAGTATATTTGAAATGTGTGAATATATGGTAGCAGCAGATAATGGTAACAGTGCTTTATATATTGACTTAGAACTATAATGGGTTTTGCAACATCATTTTTATTTATTTATCGTCACTTATTATCCTATAGAATCTTGTCACAAAAGGAATTGAATCTTAGAACTACATGTGGCAACTTTTTTTGTATCACCTTAAATATTTTGTCTTGCAGGATGTAGAACAAAGTTAAATTCCTTGGAAACTGTCTGAATCTCCTGAGACTCTGTTAGACAGAAAACAGCTTTTAGTTTTAGAAATAATTTGGCCCATTTCCAACATAGTACATTTCTGAGGAGTATTCAATCCCCTATGATTTAGGAGATCTTTGTACCCTGCTTGATATGAATACAAACTATCCTACCCCTATGTGAGCTCGAAGGATTGTTCTTCCTGCCTCTCTTTGGTGCATTTTTCCACAGCTTTGGTCCAGTCTTCACATGCATGTATTGATCAGTATCCAGCTAAAGATTCTAGTGGAACCTTACAATACATATCACCAGAGATTACTCTTTCTTTCGGTACAGCTCTTTGGTCCCTGTTTTTTTTTGGCATATTCTAGCCACCTTGACCACCCAAACCTCTAATTTCTTGTCTCTTCAACTCGAGAAGACTAAAAGGTTCCATAGGGTTCCTGACCTGACATTGTGACCTAAAAATTCTCTAGCTGGGACAATTATAAATTTCTGTTTCCCTAATTTTTATTCCTATGGAATGATTGTCCTGTGCTGGTTGTTGTTCATTGTGTGAAATCTCTTGTTTCTTATATTTTTCCTGGTTTTATTTAAGGAGGGAGGCTTGTGTAATTTCTTATGCCTGAAGCAACATATTGATACCAAAAGATAGACTTCTTAGATGTTCTTTGTCACATATTTTATGTATATAATGTGAATGATAACTCATAAAATTATAGAAGTGGCAGATTTGTCTGCATAAGTTATGTTCCCTAATACATAAAAATAAAATAAAAAGTACATTGTGAACTTTAATATGTATGCATGTTCACAGAATAACTTGCTATTATTATTTGGTTTTAAAATGCAATTATCTTTATTATTATTTGTGTATATGAATAAACTAAAACTTTTTATAAATCTCAATGAAAATACTTCTAATGGTTCCTGCCTATGTCAATATTTTCCTTGTGCTAAAATTGAAAACTTGAAAAATAATACTCTTAACTAGTTTTGTATATCATAAAATTGTTGGATAGCTATACTTTCAATAACAGTTTTTAAAAAATAAAATGGGTATTATTTTCATTTGTTATTTATGAATTCCTATGCTTTAATTTCTTTTCACATATCTGTATGAATTTCAGAAAATGTGGAATGGAGCCAGGCATCATGGCACACACCTGTAATCCCAGCTGCTTGGGAGGATGAGACAGGAGGAGCTAGAGTTCAAAGCTAGCCTCAGTAACTTAACAAGGCCCTAAGCAACTTAGCAAGACCCTGTCTCAAAATAAAATATAATAAATAAAATATAAAATAAAAATAAAATATAACAAAGGGCTGGGGATGTGGCTCAGTGGTTGAGCACCCCAGGTTCAATCCCTGGTACCAAAAATAAATAAAGAAAAAAATGTGGAATGGGTTTACAGTTTTTGGTTTTTTTTTCAAGGAACTCTAAATTATTAAAACTTTCTTTTTATAGGCTTTTTGCTGTTTTGTGGATTTTATGCTTGGCAGGATTCTTGAAGGTAAGTTGTTTTTTGAATAGTTAACCTGAAACATAATTCCGGCAATGACAATAGAAATAACCTCAAAAAATTGGAGGAGTTACTCTTAGATGACACTTAGTTGTAATTATCTGGAACATTTGTATATAGAATGATTATGGAATAATCTCATTTAATAATCAAGGCCTTATGTTATATTATGAATGGGTAAATGAGTTAAATTACATAGAAAAAGGCTCTCACTTAATAACTGACAACCTCCAAGTAGCACATTTAATTCTGAAAAAGAAATACATATTAAAATAACTTGTATTTAGAATGCTGCTATTCATAGTCGGTAATTTAATTGAAAGGAAGAATGAACAGATATTCATTCATACATCCATCTTTCCATCATACAGAAGCAAGCTCGACTTGCCTTGCCTCTTTCTGCTTTTAACATTTGTATTTGAAATTGTATAACATAATATGTATTAACAATAGATCATTAGGAAAAGTAACTAAAGTACTGTTACTACCATTCTCAAATATATTTCTTTAATCTCTTGCCTATAGATTTTTTTTTATAGTGAGACAGTGGAGTTGGTCTTGGCTGCTGTAGGAGCCCTTCTTTTCTGTGGATTCATCATCTATGACACACACTCACTGATGCATAAACTGTCACCTGAAGAGTATGTATTAGCTGCCATCAGCCTCTACATGGATATTATTAATCTATTCCTGCACCTGTTACGGTTTTTGGAAGCAGTTAATAAAAAGTAATTGAAAGCCGTATACAGAACTGTTTATTAAGTAATAAAGGTTGAGACGTAATTAAATATCAAGTACTTTTATGGTCTTTATTGATATTCTGTATACTTCTAAGCTTTAAAATTGTACCATTTTTATGGTTTATCATTCTTAATACTTTGATTTAGAATCTCAGGTAAGAGATATCAAAATTGTCTTTTTTACTTTTTTCAGTCCTAAGTTAACTATGCCTACCTATTTGTTTATAATTCTAAATAATTTTATGAGCATTTAAAATATGTTTCTTTATTTAGTGATTTAATCTAAATTTTCTCTTAACTAATATTTATTTCTAAAGTGTAGTGTCTTTACCGTTATAAACACTAGTGTTAATTAAAGTGTAAATCTTTTACTAAGAGATTTTAATCTCATTTAGTAAGGAAAAAAATGGAAAAGATAAATTCCAAAGATAATTACTCAGTATTATATTGAAATTATATTGAAATGTTAATGATGTCTCATTATAAAATGATGTATTAAAAATTAAAGGTTTACTTAAAAGCCAATATAAAATTTTGATAGTAGTTATTTATCTCTGTAAGTAAAGGTTTCATTTTAAAATTATAGAATGGTCGTGTGACTAAAGGACCCCCAAAGATACTGGTTCATCTGACATTAAGTATATGTATTCAAAATAAAAATATTTGAAAACTAGTGTCTTGTGGTTCCATTTGTGTTGGTCCATACAGCATGTAGATGAGTGTACCAGTGATCAATGGAACTTTGGCAGATTCCCTTACTATATAGTATTCCTTCATTATTTGCAGTTTTATGTTCTGTGGTTTCATTTACCTGTAGGCAATTGTGGTCTAAAAATGTTAAATGGAAAATTCTGGAAATAATTTATAAATTTTAACTTGCATGCCCTTTTTAAAATTTTTTTAAGTTATAGATGGACATAATATCTGTATTTTATTTATCCATTTTTATGTGGTGCTGAGGATTGAACCCAGGGCTTCATGTATACTAGGCAAGTTCTCCACCACTGAGCTACAACCTTATCCCCAGTCATATGCCCTTCTGAGTAGCATGATGAAGTCTCATGCTGTCCTTCTCCATCCTGGTCGGGACATGATCTTCCCTTTGTCCAGCATATCCACACTGCATACATTACCCATTTTTTCATGGCTCAGTGATCCAGGATCTTCTTTCTGACACATTGTCAGAAGACCAATGGTAGCTTACCTCTACACAGCACAGTGCTGCATCATCTCACTTCATCTCATCACATAATCATTGTATTGTCTCACATCACAAAAAGAATGGTGAAAACAGAACAATAAGATATTTTGAAAGAGACTATACACATGACTTTTACTATACAGTACATTGTTTCAATTTTTCTATTTTATTATTGTTGATCTCTTATTGTGCCTAATTTATAAATTCAAGTTTATCAGAAGTATGCATGTATAGGATAAAACATAGTATGCATAGGGTTTGGTACTATATGTTTTAGGTATCCATCAGGAATCTTGGAATATATCCCCCAACAAATAAGAGGAGAATATTTTATTAAATAAAGTTTGCTAGGACAGCCATAGCAAAGTACTATAGAAAGAGTGGCTTAAACAGTAGACATATATTTTCTCCATAGTTCTGTGGGCTAGAAAGTCCAAGATCAGGTTGTAGACAGGGTTGGTTTCTTCTGAGACCTCTCTTCTTGTAGATGGCTGGCTTCATAATGTCTCTACCTTGTTTTCCCTCTGTGTTTGTCTATGTCCAAATTTCCTCCTCTTATAAGGACATCAGTCATTGAATTAAGGTCCATCCTAATGACCATTTTTCCTTAGTTAACTCTTTAAAGACCTATCTCCAAATACATTCATATGCTGAGCTACTGAGAGTTAGGACTTCATAATATGAATTTTTAGGGACACAGTCCATAACACTCACTAAGTACATCATTTCATATGTACTAAGTTGAATTCAGTTAGTTATATAGATTTAGTCTCCAATGACTTTTAGATGGTAATTGACTCTATCATCAATTGATTGTTGAAAAACCAATTGTGTGATACTTTACAATCAAGTTTAGCATAGCATGTTAGGTATAAACATCTAGATTGGAATCCTTATTATATGTGACCAGTTACATGTTTGTAAAAGTTACTTCCCTTCCTTATATAGGTCTTGCCTCATTTTTATAATGGGAATAATCGTAACAAATCCTGCCTAATTGGGCTTTCAGAAGGATAAAATGAGATAAATACAGAAACTAAATGATTAATTAATGTAAGCTGCTGTTATTAGTATCATTTCGATCCAAATGCATAATAGACTGAATTGTGACTAAAGACAATAAGCAAAGGCAGATTTGACATTTTAAAATGTAAAACAATGCCATTCTTTTTACTAAATTATTTTTTATTTAGGAAATAGTTATTTAATATAAAAATGCCACCTAATGAATTCCCTTTGAAATGACTTAAATTTTCAAAAAAGTTTTTTTAATTTCTGATATATACCATAATTATTAAGTCTAAAGGGATCACACTAAAAGTTTTGAAAACCACTGGTATAAAATATTACATGAACCAAAATCATATATTTTTCTATTAATGAATTTTATATGGTTGCTCCTTTCTTACTGTCGCCATTAACGCTACTCTGTACATCTTTATGTGTCCTACTGTGCATAGGCATGACAATTTTCTAGGTACAATGACGTGCAATTTTCAGTTTTTTACCAGAGGTGAAAATGTGCAGATTTAAGAAATACTAAGAAAGTGGCATTAGCAGGTTGACAGAGCAACTGGCAACTCAGTGTACAAGGGACAAAAGAACAACAAGTAGGAAGAGAATGAGAGAAGAGCAGGAAGTGAGAACTGTGTTTATTGAATATCATTCAGCTTAAGAGATGCTGTGGGTCCCATGTACCTGCCTTCACTTCTTTACAGGTCTCAGACCTAGCTTCAATTCACTTCATGTAGTTCTGGCAATGAGTGATAGCAGCAGGCGTTTTTGGAGGAGCTGGGAACAGATTTTTTGTTGTTGTTTTTACTTAGTATCTTTGTAGAGTTTAGTCCTGAAGTATCCATGATCTAGGGAATTGGCAATATGAAGTCACCATCTGAATTCCAGAAATATTCTTGTTTCTTACTAAATCATTATGCAGATCAGGGACTCCACTCACTGGATGAAGCCAGTAGTTTAGCATGCCTTTTGGATGGAGAATCAGTTGGTATTCAACACTACCCACTGTGCCTCTAGTTCCATAAACTCTTTCCAGCTCTCTTGAGTTATAGCCATATCCAGGTTGACCCTTAATCCTTATTCCTCCATCAGGGATTAAAGTGTCCCAAACACAGTTGTTTGTTTTCCTTCACCTTTGTATATCCAGCAAAGTGCCTACTGCAGAGTTTATACATTGAATGTATGAATGAGAGTGGCTTATGAGTTTTTAAATATGCTAAGGCCATTTATTGTTAGAAATTCATTTGTACAAACTGGACATGAGTTAAAACTTTTTTTCCCCTATTTCATAGTCCATGATTGTTTTATAAAGTATTTGTAATGCTGAATTGTGACATGTATTTTAGCACAACAATTTTCATAATAGGTTATTGTTTCTTTTGCAAAATTTCTATTCAAAAGTCTTTGCCAGGTATGTTAAGCAAGAGGCAGTCATTTTTGACTATGTGAAAGGGAATTTACTGTAGTTTAAAATGCATTATGCATGGGCTGGGGATGTGGCTCAAGCGGTAGCGCGCTCGCCTGGCATGTGTGCGGCCCTGGGTTCGATCCTCAGCACCATGTACAAATAAAGATGTTGTGTCCGCTGGAAAAAAAAGTCATAATAAAATGTAAATATTTAAAAAATAATAAAATAAAATGCAATATGCAGATATATTTCTGGGGAAATGAGGCTAAATTCTAATTTGAAAAAACAGGTATACAGTTAACATAAGATAGAAACAATCTTCCATTTAAAGAAATTAGGTTTTCTCTTTTTTTTTTTAAGCCTAGGATTTTTTCAGCCCAATGTTTAAAAAAAGAGGGTGGGGGGGGACTTGTTCTAAGAAATCCAGACTCTCAATACCATATTATTCTCAAATGTTCTAACCAAAAATACAACACCGACCTGTGTGGTTCTAATGCTTATACCATAAGAAGTATAAGTTAGGGACAGCCCAGTGGTACACACCTGTAATCCCATTAACTTGGGAGGCGGAGGCAGGAGAATTGAGAATTGAGAATTCAAAGCCAGTCTCAGCAATTTAGCAAGGTGCTAAGCAACTCATTGAGACCCTGTCTCCAAATAAAATACAAAAACGGGCTAGGGATGTAACTCAGTGTTTAAGTGCCCCTGAGTTCATTCCCTGGTAGTACTGAAAGGGAAAAAAAAAAGTATACGTTAAATAACAGTGTTGTTCATGAGCTCAATGTCCTAGGTGTAGCACTTCCTGGTATGGAAGCATTCAGACAGGTAAACATCAACTTGAAGTGAAACAATTAAATTTTATACTTTAAATTCTCCTTTGGAATAGGATTACTTTCTGATTTTGGTGACAGTTTTGAGACATAACTGACAAAATAAGTTGCAAGTATTTAAAGTGTACAATTTGCTGAGTTTTGGCATATGTGTACATCCGTGAGATTGTAGTGGCACCCCCTTTCTCTACAGAAGTCTTAACTGGGCTTCTCCAGAAATCTTCAACATGGCTGATTTGGGGACTGTCAGCAAAAGAGTTTAATGTAGATAAACTTCCTATTTTCCTGTTGTTCTGTTTTACTTGGCCACTGGCAGTGAAGATATCAGCACTCCACTGCTGGACACCCCATTACTAGTTTTTCACAAACGTATCAAGTATAGTAGTTTGTAGCAATGTGCAAACAAGGCCTTGGCCTTGAGCTGGGCTTCACAGAGATGTCTACATTTTAAGGTAAGAGAAGTTACCAATTGGGCTCCGCAGGAGGAGGAATAAAAGGGGAGAAGAAGCTCTCCCTGGCTCAGGCGTTGTCCTTGAAGGGTTAACTTGCCCAGAACAATAAAAGAAAAAAAAACTGCTTTTATGTGAACTTCTGCAGACTGTGAACTTCTGAGTCCCTCCCCTTATATAGTGGGTATAAAATTCTGGAACTACTGACCTCGGGGTACAGGGTATTGATTGATTACAGCAAAAGCTGTGCCCTCTGAACCTGGCTGCAGTCAAATAAAACTATCTCCTGCTATCTTAGGTGCCTTGCCTCATCTGTCCCTACAACAAGATCATAAACCAAGATGGGAGTGAGTTTCCAGGCTGCAAATAAGGATGACCTCAATACATCTCTGAAAGAACACGTGATCTAAGATGATTGGCTTTAAGCAACCTCTAGAGTACCTGGTGCCAGTGAGGTCAGCTTTTAAAGGTGGGCTTTGCTCTACCTGGGTGCACAGTTCCCAGGCGGAATTCACTCCCTGTGATAAGTTCCGGGTGCTAATGCGCCCACTTCCCAGAAGCAGGTAAACACACGTCCAGACCGCTGACTGGAACTGGAACGCAGTTTAGAATTGGCTAAATCCTACTTCTGTACAGTTATGGGACCAGCCAGGGTTCAAAGTCTGCGCAACCCTAAAGCAGAAGGCGTGTCAGCGCCTGCCCCGCCTCTGAAGCTTTAGCGGCCGTACTGTCTCCCGGCATGCACTGCGCTCACCGGCCGGAAGCCGGAAGTTGGGGGCTTCCATTCGGTGGCGTGCTGCTTGGAAAACGTGATCTTGTGAGTTTGTTGTTGCGTCTTCCCTCCGGGGAACAGTGGGGTGTGAGACCTGGGGCGTGAGACCTGGGGCTTGATTTGCTGCCTGTGGAAAATTTCGTGCCAAGCTTTGACCCTCTTGCGCCATGTTTGATCTCTTCGGTGTGAAAAGCCAGGACTCGGTCAAGGACGAGAGTCCCTGGCTCCTGATGGCGGCCCTTTGACTTCCTCATTTTCTGTGTAAAATGAAGCCTTTTCTTGTCTCTCAGTCGTGCTAAGGTTAACTTTGACCCTCAAAGACTATTCCGCAATCCTGTATGCTGTCCCCCTGCCGGGCTTGGGTCCTTGTAGACAAGGTGGTCAAGTAGGTTTGTGATTGCTGGCATTCGTGTTTTGGTATTCAGCTAGTCACCCTTCATCCTTTACTGTGCGTGAACTGCTGTGGACTGAGGAATTCAACGGTGAATACAATCTGTAACCTCTACTTTCCTGGTACCCACATTCCTTTGGAGGGCAGTTTGTCAAAGTCATTTCCTAATTAGTAAACTTAAGATGGTGATGCTCTTTGCATTTGGGGGGAAATTACTCTATTTTGTAGGGAAACCAAGGAGGTTTCAGAATTGGCTTTATTTACAGTTTGCCTTTGACCGCTAGGAGTTTGATTTAACGTTCTTAATTGTTATTTATTTAGTGACAATAGGAGCCATATTGACCCTCACATAAGTTGCACATTAAGCTGTCATAAATCTTGAAGAGTGAAGAGTTTATCTTCTATTTTTTCCTGTTTTGTAGAGAAATACCTGGTGTCTTGATTTCCCAAGTATATGCCTTTTTTTAGTAGTAAACAATTTGCTTTTGAATGTATATTTTTGTTAACTGCCAGGTAAAAGATGGCTAAAAGCTTACGGAGTAAGTGGAAAAGGAAGATGCGGGCTGAAAAGAGGAAAAAGAATGCTCCGAAAGAGCTCAACAGACTTAAAAATATTCTCAAAGTTGGCAGTGATGTTTTAATGAAAGATGTTGAAGAAATAGCAACTGTGGTGGTACCTAAACATTGCCAAGAGAAAACGCAGAGTGTGGTGAATGATGAAAAAGGTGAGTTTATGTGCTTTATTAAAAAATATATATATTAGTTTCTTTTTGTGGATTTTTTTTTTTTTGTAACTGCTCTGTGCCTACCTTCAAATCTGCTCACGTTTATTATTGAAGTCTACATTGCTACAAGAAATTCTGTGCTAAACTTTTAAAACCAGTTCATGTGGATAGTCATATTGTGGATTATTCAAGATGGATCTTGTGTAATTAAACAATAATCTGCTTGAGGAGTAGATGATACTACAGGAAACAAACCTAGACTTGTTGGAAGGGTGCACAATTCAGTCAGTCCCCACAGAATAGAAAGAGGGCTTCTTTGCAAGCTTAACATACTGTGAGTCTTATGTACTTATCAGTTATCCTGAAAATTACAGTTTCACTGGATTTTATTTTCACAAATTCCAGGGACCTCTGTGTCTTAACCATAGTCTTAAGGTAGAGACTGTATAAGGTGCTAGTTTCAGCAGAGCAAAAAGTTTCTTGGATCTCACATCCTAATGCACCAATTTGGCAGCAAGTTGAATTAAGCACTCTCAGCATCCATACTCTAATTTTTTTTAAAAAGAGAGAGAGAGAATTTTTTAATATTTATTTTTTAGTTTTCGGCAGACACAACATCTTTATTTGTATGTGGTGCTGCGCACATGCCAGGTGAGTGCACTACCGCTTGAGCCACATCCTCAGCCCAGCATCCATACTCTTGAAATAATGTTTATGTGGTGTATATGGTCAGGGAAGAGAGCAGTATTCTTCAACCTTACAATCCTAAAAGTTTCCTTTCCCATTCTTCAAAATGACCATTTTTAAATTTTCTCTTTCTTCTCAATCCCTCTCCCTACAGTATACTATTCAGTTGCACTTAGTACATTTACAGTTTTATGTAACCATCATCTCTAGTTCCAAAACATTTTCACCATCTAAAAAGAAACCCTGTACCTATTAAAGAGCCTTGAACCCTATGCCTCCAACAACCACTAATGTGCTTTGTGTCTTTATGTACTTGTTTTGAATATGAAATGGAATCATACAATATGCAGTCTTTTGTGCCTTTCTTTTCTTACTTAGCATAATATTTTTGAGTTTCACCCATGTTGTAGCATATATCAATACTTCCTTTTTAAGTTAATAGTCTGCTTTGTATACTGTATTTCATTTATCCATTCATTTTATCCATATCCATTTCATTTGGGTTGCTTCTACCTTCTCACTATTATAAATAGTGCTCTTGTGAACATTTGTGTATAAGTTTTTTGTTTTTTTTTTAATGCCTGCTTTTGTTTTTTTGGGGGGTGGAATATACTTATAAATGGCAGTGCTGGATCATATCATTCTTTGTTTATTCTTTTCCACCTCAGCCACACTATTTTACTTTTGCACCAGCAATGTACAGGGTTAGTGTCCCACAATTTTGATTTGTATTTCCCTAATGACTAATAAAGCCAAAGATTTAAAAATCTGTATGCCAGATTCCCATGCACTCCTGAGTCTTGAATTGTTCCTTTAATTTTCTTTTCTCTCCTGTTTCTCTTTTCTCTCCTCTCTTTTCTTTCGTTATATTCTGTAATTTCCTCAACTTTATTTTCTAGTTGTTGTGTTATTTAATGTTACTAATTTTCTTTTTAATATTTTTTTTATTTTTATTTTTTTAAGTTTTCGGTGTTTTGTATGTGGTGCTGAGAATCGAACCCGGGCCACACGCATGCCAGGCGAGAGCGCTACCGCTTGAGCCACATCCCCAGCCCTAATGTTACTAATTTTCATTTCCAAAGTTTTTTCCCCCCTTTTATTGTTTAATTTGTATAACCTCCTGTTCTTAATGGATCTATATTTTCTTTGATCTCACTGGGGGTATTAATTATAGTTGTTTTTGAAATTTGGATCTACTGTTTGCATCATCTATCTTTCTTTTGGGCTTCTCCCTATCTCATCCCCACCCTTCTGTTCCTAAATTTTTATCTCTATCTCTATATTGGAGGTTTTTCGCAAGTATCTGGTGATCAGTACTCATTGCTTGTATTTAAGTGAGGCACTAATATGATGATTGGAAGCTGGAAGGAGTGAAGGCATGGAGGAGGGTCTATTAACTGCTAGACCTGTAGAGTCATTGGAGTGAACACAGGAGGTCCTGTTAGGAGATCTCCTATGTCAGAATTTATGGCTCTTTTTTCTCATCATCCTCAAAGAGGCATTCTCTCATCCATCTCCTGCCTAGGGAATGTCTAGGGAATGCCCTCATTCTTAGAGTATTTCAGGAGCTAAATGGGGACAGGACTGAGAGTGAGGAGAGTCCCACTTAGTAATCAAGATGGTTCTTTATCGCTGCCCTTAAAGTTCATGTTCCTTATTTCTATTTTTTCAGCTGCCTACCCAGTTTCTTAAGCCACAAAACTAGTAGTCATCCTTTCTTTTTTCCTCTATATCTAAACCATTAACAAATCTTATTTATTATTTCAAAATTTCAGCAGAATCTATTTTTTTTCCTTCATTCATCTTAATTCAAATGACTATTGTTATGGTTTGAATGTGAGGTGTCCCCCAAAAACTCATGTGTGAGACAATGCAAGAAGGTTCAAAGTAGAAATGATTGGGTTATAAGATGTTAACCCAGTCAATGAATTAATCCCCTGATAGGAGTAACCGAGTGGTAATTGAAATAATAGGGTTTGTCTGGAGGAGGTGGGAATTGGGGTGTGGTTTTGTGGTATATATTTTGTATATGGAGAGTGGAGACTCCTTCTGTTTCTTGATCACCAAGTGAGCTGCTTCCCTCTGTCACATACTTCCCTCTGATCACCATGATGTTCTGCCTCATCTTGAGTGGATTAAGATCTTTGAAACTGTGAGCCCTCAAATTGTTCTGGTCAGATCTTTTAGTCACAGCAGCAAAAAAGCTGACTAAAACAACCATCATCTCTTGCCTATACCATTATAGTAACCTTTTTGCTTCTGTCTTCTTCAGCTTTTTCCTTTTTGGTTTATCTTCTACATATTACCCAGTGTGATCTTTTTAGAATATAAATCAGATTATATCACTGGCATGCTTAAAATCTCAAGTCTTTTTTCCATGTTCTTAACAGAACCTACCTAAAGTAATCACTCAACTACTAGTTACTGAGTAACTATTAAATACTAGCACTATTTTAGGCAGCATGGAAACAATGGTGACTATCAAATATAACATCAGGTAGTAAATATGATAGAAGATCTTGTATAACTTGGTTAAGTACATGAGAGGGACATTCTGGGCATGTTCCTTACCAGCTAATAAGATTAGTGGCAGATATGCCATAGCATAGTTTCATGGAACTTCAGCCAAGTTCCCTGTTAGTAGAGCTGGGTCTCTGGGTATTGCCTGGTTAGAAGTGTGGCAACCCCAGCACACAGCCCCAGGATGTGTCCAGGTCTTTCTTCTCTGTTGTATGCTTATCTTTGTTACCACAGCCTGCTGTTGAACCATTCCATTGACTTCATTTAAGTTCTTTCTAAGTTCATTAAAATTTAGTTCAAGTTCATAAGAAATGGCCAGTCATTCCTCATCATTTACTTATAAGACCTGTCCATTAGAAGTATGGGTGCACTTCTTACTGGCTCAACTGTCTTATGTAACTCAAGGAATCACTTAATATGAGAATTCTTATTGTAAGCATTCTTACAATTGTAAGCATTCTTACAATTCATATGTGCTCAGAACCATACATTTATCCACTAATTCAGTAGCTCAAAGCCATAAATCCTAATGCTTCCTTTTTGACTTTATTATTCCAAAGCACAATCAGGACAACATTCTTTAGAAAGTTCCTCAGTGAGTAAATAGATGGTGCCTATAGTTACAAACACTTAGGTCATTCATGATTATAGTAATATATAGCATGTGTCTGATTTTGTCAAGTTTGCTGTGAGGAGTTTTGTTTGAGTGAATGAGAGCATTCTAGAAAAGGGTTTTCTGTAGTTTCAGTCTGCCTTCAGTTCTGATAGGCACAATGCATTCATATGCTTTCACGGGGTAAGTGTTAATAGTTTCTCCATATTTTTTTTTATTCAGATGACATGAAAATGGAGACTGAGATTAAGAGAAACAAAAAGACTCTTCTAGACCAGCATGGACAGTACCCTGTGTGGATGAACCAGAGGCAAAGAAAAAGACTAAAGGCAAAGCGAGAAAAAGGAAAGGGGAAGAGCAAAGCAAAGGCAGCAAAGGGTTTGGCCTGGTAGACTCTTAAAACTTGAAGAATTCTACATGGGACAGATGTTTGATTGGAGAATGTATACATTGATTTTGACTGTCACTAAATGAAAACTATTCATTTTCATATTTTAAGTTGACTTTTTGTCTTCAATTCAAACCCAGAATAACCCCTCAAGTTTGTTTTAGGAACTTGAATAAAGTATTTTCTTTAGTAAATGAAAGGTATATTGATGTTTTAATTGGATGTCACTCAATATCTATATACTATAAGACATCAAAATTCTGTCAAGAATTAATATGGTTTACCAGGTGTGTTGGAACACACATGTGATCCCAGCAGCTCAGGAGATTTAGGCAGGTGGATCACAAGTTCAACGACAGCCTCAGCAACTTAGCAACTGAGACCATGTATCAAAAAATAAAAAGGTTTGGGGTGTGGCTTAGTGGCTGAGTGCCCCTAAATTCAATCCCTGGTGCCAAAAAAAAAAAAATTGATGTGGTTGTAATTGTTGGATCTTACAACTTGGTAAAATCATCCAATAAAGGTAAAACGATAAACTGACAAATTTGAGCAAACTCAAATTTAAAAAGCTATTATGTGGTTATATTTTTTAAAAATGTGACATCAGTGGGTCTTATAAATAGTACTAGATTGAAGTTTTGATTTCTGTAATTCAGAATAAAAGATATTTTGTGTGTAAAACTTTGATCTTTTCTTCTTTTGTACATTATGAAGGTTTCCCAGTACTAGAGAAGACCAGAAATTTCCATTAAATTTTTTAAAAGTCTTAGGTGGAATATGTGAATTTATACAAATCAATGTTTCAAATTAAAGTACCTCAAATTTTTCCTAGAAACTTACTTAATGTTCTTCAGTTTTAATATTGTGTAGCCTAAATATAATATAGTACAGCTTTCCCAGCGTATGTTTTTCAGAATCCACTTCTCCAGGTGCTTTTGGGAGAAAAAAAAAATTTGTGGTCACATCAATTTGGGTAATGCTATATACCCAAAGAATGACAGGAAATGTTACTTTATTATTATATGGTCTTATATAGGTCAGTTTCTGAGAAATAGAATACACTATCGAAAATGTTGGTACTATAATGGAAGTTAGTTTTAGTTAAATATCTTGCTATAATTTGCTAATTTCAGTCAACTTTAATTAATCTAAATTTCTCATTTCCTCTGAAATTTCAGTCTAATCAGATTAATAATTTTATTTGTTTACTGACATAATGAAATATTTATTGAGTACTTCCTTTGTGCCAGGGACTTTTCTAGGTACTGGGTAATATTATTACCTGGGTACGTAGAACTGAGAACTGTGCACCTGCTCAGAAGACGTTAAATACACCAGAAAATCAAGTGAAGGGTGAAAATTTTTAGAATAAATTCACTTGGCCATGAGGTCACAAACTGTGCCAAGAGTCCTAGGAGGCTGGGGCACAGTATAGATAGATAGGATATGACCAAAATCCTATAGAATATTGGAATCTATAAAATTTAATGCCAGTAAAATAATTGAAGTTATTTTAATAGGCTTTTCTTAATTAACTATTTCATTTCAGAAGTTAGTGGATAACTTCAAATATTTAAAATAGGTTGGACATGTAGGTCAGTGATAGAGCACTTGCCTAACATTCATAGAGTCAGGTTCAATCTCCAGTACCACATACACATACACACAGAAATTTAGACTGACGTTTCAAAAGTAGTGCAGGGTGTGATAAATCGAGAAGTATAGTATAGCACTTATATCTATTATTAACTTATCTTTTTAAAAAAATTTTTTTAGTTGTAGATGGATATAATACCTTTATTTTATTTTTATGTGGTGCTGAGGATCAAACCCAGGGCCTCTGCATGTGAGGGGAGCACACTACTGCTGAGCTCAACCCCAGCCCTTTATCTTTTTAAAATTTGTCCTCTTAATTTGACGGATGTTTTCCAGAGAACTGTAAAACCACCAGGTGGAGCTCAAGCTAAATACCAAATCATTTTTGGAATTAGGTTGAGCTATTGCATTAGGAATTGAATGTAAAGTTGTTTTTTTTTTTTAATTCAAATATTTAAGAATAATCAAAATAGCATAAAGTATTAAATCATTTAATTCATCCAGCAATCCTGAGTTGGGTGCTAATATTCTCTCTTTACACAGAATGAAACTGAGGCACACAGGCCATGTATACAAAACCAGGAGACCTGCGATTCAAATTCAGGCAGCTGGGCCCTAGAGCCTATACTCTTAGAATGACAATCTGCCTCTTCAGGATGCCCAAAATTGCTAAAAGAAAAAGGTGATTTTAGGGTAGAACACTTAATTTTTGGTTCAACCCATGATGGGTTAGGTTGATACAGACTCAGGATCAGATAAAGAGCAGACTTTAGTAAAGAAGTGATTCATAGAATGCTCCTCAAACCTCTGGACCTAAAACAGATTGGATTTCCCTAAGAAACTCTTCATTAGGAATGGACCTACCTTTTCCAAAAGAAGAAGGTATGGCCATGATCATCATTGCACAGGCTGCTACTGAAAAGAAATGTGAACTGCAGTTGAAGCTCTAAGTAGTGGTTTTGACCACATTATTTTTTCTGTTGTCAAATTAATGTAGATGCCTATCTTTTTCCACTACTTTGCATGCTATATAAAGTGTGCAACAGTATATATTTGCTTGTTAAGAAATTTGAATGTTTTCAAAATTTGGACCTACATATCTAGGATTTTTAGAAGCTGGAGAAGAAAAACTATCTGGCTATAAATGACTTGATTCAACCATCTGAAATGTACTGGTGGGTGGTGACAGAGACAATGGTGTATAGTTTAGGCTAGTGAAGTGCTAGTCACAAAATAAAATTAGGGGCCTCTAAAGAGACATCAAGGAATTGCCAGATCTATCTATCTATCTATCTATGTGTCTATCTATCTATCTATCTATCTATTTATTTATTTTGTACCAGGGATTGAACTCGGGGGCACTGAACCACTGAGCCAAATCCCCAGCCCTATTTTGTGTTTTATTTAGAGACAGGGTCTCACTGAGTGACTTAGCGCCTTGCAGTTGCTGAGGCTGGCTTTGAACTTGTGATCTTCTGGTCTCATCTTTCAGAGCCACTGGGGTTATAGGCATGCACCACTGTGCCTGGCCAGAATTGCCAAATTTATAAGCACTACAATTGAAATTCAGATATTAGACTTGGGTAATCTTACTAGCTAAGTGGCTGGCAGATTGATTCAACTATGTGCTAGGCACAAATATAAATAATTCTTTTTTCCTAGTATTTGCTGGCATATGAGAACACTATTACAGCAGACACATACCTGTTTTACAAGAAAGGGTTTGTGGGTGAGGGATGACCTTTAAAGGCTTACAAGAGTTTAAAAGCCATTCTGCTGTCCACAGGGGCTATCAGGCAGCTAGAAGGACCAGAGCCAAGGTTGGGCCTTCTTAGGAAAAAAATGCTAAAATTTACATAGTTGAATGTCAAAGGTCTTTCACACCTATTTTAGAACAGGGAAACAACACAATTTCATGTCACGTAAGACTCATTCATTAGGGTAGTAGTAAACAACAACAAAAAGGGCCAACATTTAGAGAATGCTTATTGTGCTAAATTCACTTATATAAAACAAAGAAAGGTGTGGGAACAATACTCTTATCCCTAATTTCAGATTAGAAAACCGAATAGGTAGTGCAACTTTTAAGTAGTGAACAAAACTGTTCTGAGTATAGAATGAATACCTATGATGCAAAGTCATAAAGAGGGCCTGACTGCATCTAAAGAGGAACCTTGTAATCAAGATAACTGGGAGAAGTAATGAGCTGAAGTGGGAGTAGTACCCTGTCAAGCTCAGGCTGGAAAACCAAGTGAAATATAGTAGAATGGGTTCAAATATTGTACTTGGAATTCAGGTCAAAAGTTGCTGACATTCTTTTAAGCCAAGAAATTCCTTATATAAAAATGTTGTATTTGAAATGTATTGGGTTTATTTTGCTCTATTCAGTCTTTTGGTGCTACATGATTGTAGACTTAAGTATCTTTTTTTGATGGAAATAACAAAATCTGAAATCTTAATTTTATTAATGTTAAGTCTGGTACTCATTCAACCAAGTTTCAAATTAAAGTATGGAAAAAACGTTATAAACATCTGCTTTAAACAATGAATGGGGTAAAGACTTTCGAATTTTAATTTAAAGAATAGCATAGCTTTATAATATATTAAGTTTATAATATGCAGAATGTATTTTATTTCCTAAAGCGATGAATTGTCTTGGCATTATGCTATCTTATGAAACACTTTCTCACTCTCACATTGTGTCTTTGTAGTTTTCAATATCAGCAAAAACCTTTAAGTGGTCTTAGTTGGGTGTTGTGTATCATTGTACAGTAACTGCTAGTACATATGGAATTTCTGATCCGTGTAATAAAGTACATTTGTCATGGATCTTGTGATCTGCATACCTTTCAGCCGTTACTTCATAAATCTGTTCCATCGGAAAACTGCTTTGTACAGCAATGGTTGAAGCTGCTTTTAATAAACTAATATTTTGTGTCTTTTATATGTAATCAACAGGGAATATTATAGACTTGTGCCTCTGTGGAGAAACATTCCACTAAACTTCTTTTCTCTTGACAATAATGGAAAAAAATAGCTCAGGAAAAGCACAGATGTTCAAGAACATATGTTGTTTGCTCCTCAGTCAGCTGAGGATCTTTTGTATAGCTCCAGATTTTTTCCCCCCAATGCTTCAGAGAAGAAACCATTTGAGGTGTGTGATGGGGAGAAGACAGTTACAAATTTCATTGAGAGACCAACATTGGGTGCTATTTGTCAAAATTCTCAAATGCCTCAACTTGCTCCCACAAAGAGATGATATTCTTGAACAGAACTGAAGGCAGTTGGCCAAAGATTGGTCATTTCCACATGCTTCCCTCTTCAGATGTAAGCACTCTACTCTTCTTTTAGTTTTCCCCCAAACTTTAATTTACCAGCATCTTCAACAAAGCAGGTATTTAATCATTATTAAATACAAAGTGGTTGCCTCTATGCCCTCTTCTACCTTGAGTTATTGGATAAGGGCTGTTCTTTCTTGAGCTGTAGAAATCTCCACAGCTGAATCTGAAATCTCAATGAGTCAGATCTCGACAGCCTGGGCAATTGTTTATTAACGTATGTACAGGAAAATATTCTTGGAAAAATACTTTATAAAAAAAAGGA